CACCATATCGAGTGGGTCATAGCCCCTGACTCAATCATGTTTTGATCTCCGAATAACCTTGGCTAGAGGAAAATAAATCCCCTTTGCCCCTTTCTAGACAGTTGGTTCATTATGACCTGCATCACAAACCCTTGAGATCCTTGAAATGGGTTAGTCCTTATGCAGGATGTATGCAATGGTATGATGTTATGCTATGCATGGAGTGATGTAAGTAGGCCCTGTAATGAGTCCCAATTAAGGACTGTAAATAAAACCTGCAAGGAACTCGTGTTGTTAGATAACAAGTATGCAAGTAATTCAAGTTTGAAGGCACACAAGTCACACAGAGAGCCCTTAGAGTTTAGGCCAGCATGAAGTTTAGGGTACTACCCTCTTGAAGTTGGTGGGCTCAAACCTGTCATATCAAAAGTAACCGGGTTCTAAGGAGCTCAATATCATTGGGTTGTTTTCTATGTTCATTGTTTTGATTTAGCCACTGAACTGGCGATCAAAATATTCCAAGAAAACAACCCTCAATGAGTGTAGTATCGAGTATCTACCAACTTCGGACTGCACCAAAGTCGGTCATCTCACTACCCCTAAAGAGGCCAGGATGGTCAAGTAAGGTTCCTAAGGTCAGTTGATGCTTCACGACACCACGCGGCGGCCCCGTACTCTCCTTGACTTGACTCAAGGGTTACCGGTACTCACCAAAGTGCCACATCAACGTAGCAACTGCTTCAACCGTGTCGGTATACCCCGCACAGTTCCCTCATAGTTTGTTGCTACCTAAAGAGGGTATCCCCCAGATCCGGGTTAGGATCTATGAAGCTCCAAAACAGGCCCACAATTTTAAAGCAAACAAAACAAGCAATTGAAAACATAAGAGTGGTCTAATCCTAAGGTACACCTCACTTATCAAAGTATCCCCAGCAGAGTCGCCAGTTCTGTGATCGGTGGAAATAGAACTGACTGTTTTTGAGCTGGTTTTGCGAAATGTCGCGGTAAGCAAGAGTCGCCACCGTCTTTTATGTTCTCCAACAAGGAAAGGACAAAAGTACAGCAAAATTCCTTTTCGAGAATGTTTCTCGGTTCGAGAGGTAGATTTATAGAAAGAGAAGGTGTTAGCATCCTTTCTATCCGTGGTTATCCACGGGCTCTTAGGTACTTGCTCTTATGTTTTCAAAAAGTTGTTTGCTTTTCAAGTGTATGTGGGTTTTGAAAAAGTTTAGTTTGAAAAACTTCTAGGTAACTCTTGTATCAGTCCTCAAGAGTGTATGAAGTATTTGTTTGAAAACTTTTTGAAAGTGTAGGTGCGAAAAGATGTTTTATTTGTTTGAGAGAGCAAGTACCCAGGAGAAATCTACCTACTCTAAGGAATTAGGCTGTGTAAGAGTCCTTTAGATAGTGCTATCCCACCATTGAGAGGTAGGTAGCACCGTCGTTGGAGGTATTCGGGTCAATTTGATTATTAGGGACAATGTGGTCACCGAAGCAATAGTAGGACACCTTAGCGGTAACCCTAATGTCCTAGATCCTTTTTATCCGAGGCAACCGTTTCGAGGCAACTGGATCTTTAGACAGGAGGGCGACCTCTAAAACACCCTATACTTGACGACCACGTTCGAGGCAACCAGTGAGGCGTACCCTAGGAGTGGCATGTGCATGTGTGTTGTTTCAGTTTATATTTATCTTTGAACATGTCATTTGTGAGCTACAGATTGATTTTATTTTTCATACAAGTCTTTCATGCATATTAACAGTTAAGAGTGCGGAAAATAAATTGCGGAAAGGTAAATCTATGCCATTATAAGGCGCGGGTATATACATCGCCAAAAACATAACCCGTTTTGGAAAATAAATGCGAGAAAATTAAAGAAAGCAGTAAAATCCCTAATTAACTATTACATCCTCGGAAACAGTTACATAAATATGATCAAAAGGAATTAAAGTGCGCGTAAAGAAATTAAGTCGGGAATGTCTTAGGGTTTTGACCCTTTTTGAGGAAAATAAAGTAATTTGTCCTTTTTGCAATTAATTATTAAACCTAATTCTAATTAATTAATTAATTAAAGAAAAAATGTTTTTTTTATGTTTTTTATGTTTTTTTGATGAAAATAAAAATAAAGAAATTAAAATTCAAAAGAAAAAAACCTAATTCTAATCTATTTTAAGTTATTGAGAAAAAATTAAAGTTGACCTAATTTTAAAAGGCTAGATTAATTAATTTACATTTTTATTTACAAAAATAATAATTAAGGTGAAATTTAATAATAATAATAATATAAATATTTACTGGATTTATTATGAAAATAATATTAATTATGTTAGTTAAATAAATAATAATAATAATAATTAGAAATTAGTAAAAGAAAAATAAAAGAGAAAATATAAGGAAAGAAAATAAAAGAACTCAGGGGGGTATGCTGGCCCAAATGGAGGTGTTGTTCTGGAAATTTAGGCCCAATAACACTCAGGTCTGTTGACTTCTGGAATTGCCCACGTGCATGTTGACTGAGGAACATGGTGTTCCTTCCCTTGTAACCATTGGATTTGTATTAGGAGACACATGGTTGGCTGATACGTGGGATGCATGATGGAACCCTTCTTTGAAGCCTGCATTGGATTATACAAGAAAAAATAGGAACAATTATATGGGGAACCTGGGAATCGAACCCAGGTCCCAATGGTTGCCAACCACGTCACCCTCCACTAAGCCAAGCGCCTGTCTTTGTTAATATAATGGATGATGAAAATAATATATAAAAAATCAATTATGCTGGAAACCAAGAAAAAGCACGCATTATATTTGAATGAGCCAACCATACTCTTCCACATATTGTCTTCTTCCTCGTTTCCCTGTAAAACAAAAACAAGATAGCGGGGGTTTTTAACCCCCACAATGTGGAACGGCCAAAAATAGTGAATAGGTCCCTGGGTTATATAAATAAGGCGCGATAGTCCGGTTAGATTCGTCTTGATCAGACGGTTTCAACCATGTGCGTCATTAGTCCTAATTTTGCTTATGCTGTAAAGCCCTAATTCGAGAGCTTGGAAAACCTAAAATCCAACAATGGCGTTTTCTGTTTCAGGACACCATAACGCCAATCACCTATACCATTAGCTTCAGAAAGGTTATAGCAATGCAAAGCAATGATTATAACATGTTAATGATGCAGAAAAAGTGAGTTTCGATTCTAGAAAAATTAAGCAAACCGTGAGTTTGTTCTGGACGTTTCCTTGAGTGTTAGCCCTTGATTTGATTTCCAAAAGGTTTTTGGGAATACTAGCAAGGTGTTTGAATCTTTAAATCTTCTTGAAAGGGCCTGGAAGGTGGAATTCAATTTCAAGCTTTCTTTGAATTTTTTCAATATGGTAAGGGCTCTTTGCAGCAGTTTTGCACGTTGCAGGCATTAGGGTTCACTTCAGTATATGTAGTAGGATGGAATTAGGGTACAATCTTGGTCAAAGATCCATGGCATTATGATTTCAATATTTGATTGAAAATCAAATAATTTTCAATCTTTTTGATTGACAAAACTTGCCAAACATGGAGATTTTTGTCTCTTTGATGGATGCACGGAATTGCCAGCTTGCCCTGAGTTTATTTGCTTCACAAAAGATTTGAAAAACATATCTTGGTATTTTCCTACAATTAAATGAATTAAATGAATTAATAATCAATTAAAAATCCAAATAATTAATAAAAATAAGAAAATAATTCAATTTAATCTCAATGGGTCGTGCATAGGCCTTGGACAAAGTTTCAAGAAGGAATTTGGGGCCCATTAGCAAAAATGAGGTGTTTTGGGCAAAGTTGACTTTTGCAAATTCCCAAAAATTTCCCAACTTCTCCAATGCATATCTTGCTCAATTTTGATCATATGAACATTTTCTTGGACATTTTGGAAAGGTATTGAAGTCCTCTAACCAATGTATTTGGTCCCATGTCATTTGGATTTACCAATCTCAAGTTATGGTCTTTGACGTAAAATGCCTTTTTGTTGACTTTTGAAATTGACCTATAATGTAGAAATTGATAACTTTTTGTGAGAGCATTTATTGGACTTGGAATGTGAAGATGAGTTGTAGGAAATGTCATCCACTTCAAAATGAGAATTGGATGGGATTTTTCTGATGAACCATGAAAAAGTTATGCTCTGGTCAAGTTACAGTTGACTTTTCTACTGTCCAAAAATAGCAACTTTTGCATCTTTGATGATTTTTGAGCCATGCTTGTGGAATCATGATCAAGACTTGATCAAATGATAATTGTGGCTTCAAAATAAGATGTTGACCAAAATTTTTGACTTTTAACTGCCAAATGACCATTTTACCCCTGTAGTTGATTGTGAACCAAATGGGACTTTTGACTGTGCAATTTGATGCTGTGAGTCTTGAAACTTGACATGTAGGTGCTTGACAATGTATATGAGCCCATGTGACTTGATTGAGCCATTGAGAACCTCAGATTCCTTGACAGAACCAAAACCCTAATTTTGACTGGCTTAGAAGATGGTTTGACTGTGTAACCCCTTGAGAAATCTTGAGCCATTTAAATATGATCTTTGATAAACCTTGAAGAATATGGGAGGGCAAATTTTGGGGTACAACAAATAGCTTCTCGTTCGATTGTTTTAAGGAAACCCATCTGAACTGCTCATCAACCCATACTGGAGGTGGAAGCAGTAGAAAAATAGGAGGACAGTAGTCCCAATCTTCAAATACTCACACACCATCTCAAAAGCCCGCAAGAAGACTATTGAGTTGGGGGTGGAGGTGTGAAGGAGCAAGATGTAGGTAGTCAAAGATAACTACCTGAAGGTCGATGAAAGGGAGTCGGAGCCCCATGTCTTTAAAAATGATCTCGTACATAGGAAATTGATTAACATCATACTTCACACATATCCTATTGTACTTCTCGAAGACGAGGACAGACCAATCCTCCGCAGCGTTCAGTTGCTTCATCCCCACGGCCACGACCGTGAACGCCTCCCCGAGATGCTTGGTAAAGTATAATGCTATCTCTCAGGGACCGGTGCAATCCAGTTCGCCCCCTCATATTCAGTTTGCCCAGAAACCACGGGCGCACCCTGCTCACTTTGCTCCGACGAGGTCTCCTCAGAAGAAATTTGTCCAGACGTACTCTCCTCAGATGAATTCTGGTCGATGGAACTTTGTTCGTTCATAACCTCAACCTCGGTGCTACTAGTCGTTTTACCTAAAAAGCAAAGGACAACAATGAATTCGACGTCAAATCAAATCCATCCTTCCACCGTTAATAAAGTGAAAGGGCGTGCAAAGGCACGGGGAACCTGTCCCCGACCAGAGCCCTCACTTAAACAACAAAAGACAGACGCAAACACGATTCCCCCTAACACGTTAGGCGCGTGTCTGTCAGGCTAAACCCTAACCCGCACAAGGAGGGATCTCCCTGACGACTGGGTTTTAAACCTCTCATGAGGATTCATCATGTAAGTGCCTTCGTTAGGGATTGGCTCATCTCTTGTAAAACAAATAGCAACAACAATAATGTAATGTAATGTACAATAGGAACAGCCTGAAAATTCTATTGTAAATGCCTAAACATGTTGATCAACATCTGGAACAACATGTCTCAAGAGATGTCATAACATCATACCAGACATCAAGCTACTGAACTGTCAAGACTGATGCAGTTCTGTTCCTAAAGTTATGCAGAATATTCTGCCAAATAGAATGCATAACAAGTAGCGAAAATTAAAGGCATACGTGGAGCCCTATAAGATTCAATCAGAAGCTAAGGATAAGGAGAAAAGCTCGATTGAAGACCTAACTTGTAGCAGAAGTTTTCTGCTTATTTTATGCAGGTCGTTAAAGCTGCATTGCTGTCATATGAAGGCCCAAATCCAGTTGGGTAAAAAGTGTTATAAATAGAAGTATTATAACCTAATTTGGTAGATCGCTGATTGACTAGATGTAATCATTTAGGGCTAGTTGTGAACCACCCGGGCTGTGGGATGGTCACCATACTCCTTGAAACCTGTAGGTTAAAGGATGTATGCATTGTACTTGATTGAAGCTTTTAAGCATGATCAAGATGTGTAATGGAAGTGTATCTTCTGAGCAGTTTATGTACTGTAGAAAGTTATCACTGCGGTGATTGAGGGGGAGTGAGAGGGGTCTCATATCTAGGATTGGATCTTAGGTAAAAGTGTCATTGGGTAGTGATTAAGTGAGAAGGCTGTCAACGGGTGTGTTGGCTGTAGGGTCTTTGAATTGATACTACTAATAGTGAACTTTATCCCTGGCTTGGAAGCCCCCAGATGTAGGTTGGTTGAACCGAACTGGGTGAACAATTCTGTGTGTTATTTACTTTCTGTATTGGTTATCTGTTTGATGTCACAGCATTCCTCGTAACATCAATGTGTAAGATTAACCTTAACTGTTCTGAACTTCAGTAAATCAGAACCTGCGTGTTGTTGGCTCTGGTATGTTAGTCCAGTGACTGTTGTAGAACAGATATCAAAAGTTCAGCCTAGTCTACCTGTACAGCGCTTAATGTCAGATCAGATGTCTTAACATTCCATTAGATATTCTGAGTCTGTGACATTCCCGGAATTTCAATTGGTATCAGAGCAGGCATCCTATCTGACTCTGGATGAGATCCATGGGGGATACTTTCCGATTGTGTACAAGGTAGAATATTGTTTGAACCAGTAGTGTTCATATTGTTTGGTCCCTAGGAGTGGAGGATGGACAAATTTGGGAGAAACTAGATCAGCTATGATGAAAGTGTTTGAACAAATTCAAAGACCTCATGCGGGAGTAAAGATTTTGGAGTGCATTGTTCAAACTGTATTCAGCACAGAGAAGAATATTATCAAAATCTTCATGCGGGAGTGAAGATATTTTGTAAGGCATCATATGTGTTTATAAAGCCTTCTTTTAACAGGGCTGTAGAGTTGGGTCTAGAAAGTTGTTCGGTGAAGAAGCAAACAACTTGAGGGATTGATTTATTTTCAATCCTTATGTGTCATGCTTACTATATGGAGTAAGCACTGTGTAAGTTCTGGTGAAGTACTGCTATTCCGCTGCATAGCTTCTGATACAACCCCTAAAAGTGAAAGAAGAACTCTAGGGCTATTATTTTTGCTGTTGATTGATCAATGATTCTCATATGCGTCTGCAAGCTACTTGAAGACCTTGAAGATTATCAAGGATGATGTGTTCCAAGAAGATGGAACTAATGTTCTTAAGGATGGTAGAACAAATGTTCTGGGTGCTAAACACATGTAATGTGAATACATATGTTTGGAACCTACTCCTGATCTGGAAGAGGAGACATCTGTTTTGAAATAATTGATCAGGACACGATCAACAAGTCATCTACTCCAGTTGTGAGTTTAAGGGAGTATATGTGCTGAGCTAAATGCATTTAAAAGGACTTTAAAGCTGTGGATGATGGAAATCATTTCTGTGTCTTCAGCCAAGTAAATATGCTTAGCAAGCGTGAAGAAGTAATCAGTCTAGTGTGATTAGATAATTCTAGTTGAATAAATGATGGAAGCAGAATCTTTATGTGTGGAAATCTAAAGCTTGTGATGATAAAGAATGTACAACATCACAACTGTTGAAGACATCAGTTGTTGAGGAAAGACGGATAAGTCCCAGATTGATAATGAAGTTTCTTCTAGTACAAGTTACAGAATGTGGCAACCTGAAACTTGCACATCAAGCAAACTAAGGACTCTTAATTTGGAACCTGTGGCAAATTCCAAATAAAGAGTATTTACTATGTGTCTAAAGTAAAGAGCTCTACACTGTATCCATAAAGAGGGAAGTTGGATAACAGTTTGTTCAGAGGGAGTAGTATGATCAAGCTGATGTGAAAGGGAGTTCATCCTACCTTGTTCTATAAGATGCCTGAGTTTATTTCTCATGATCTTAGTGATTTCCAAGGAAGATAGGAATAGAACAGGTTATGTCTACCAATCACATAAACTGCAGCATGTGAAGGAGAATTCACTTAATTCTCTACAAAGATCTGAGCTGTGTTGCAGGGGGAGTCCTTAACCTAAAGATCCTGGAAGACATGTCATACAAAATGTCCTGACATCTTGGACCAAAGTCAAATGGTGGATATCTGCACTTTTACAATTCATCCCCATCACCTAGGATGAACTTGTTAGTTGTATGTGGCAAGGAGGAGTTATCTTCAAAAGATCATGGGTTCCTGAGAAGATCCTCTTCTTACTTGAAATTCATTTATGTGAACAACTTGGTTTGCTCTTGTCTACAGGAGTATGGTACAATTAACTCCTTTGTACTGTTCAAGGGTCAGCAGACAAGGTGAAGGTGATCCATGCTAGTTGCTGCATGGTTATGTGATTGTTGTGGTTCTTCATGCATGGAACAGAAGATTGTTAGAATAATTATCCTACCTTGAGAAGATGACATAATCTAACTAATAATGAATACTTTGACGGGAGACTAAGTATTCATTAGGATCTTGCATAAAGATATATATAAGCACTTTGATGGGAGACTAATTGTTTGTCTAATATGTATGCAAGGCTGTATTCTGAACCTATTTCTCAGAACTTGATAGAGAGTTTATTTCTCTCTAAGAATATTCTGGTGAGTAATCATACCTTTCTTATGGGGAATATAAAAGGGCATCAATCCCCTGGATGTTAACTTCAGAATCCAAGTAGATAGGTTCATGCTGTAATATCATTTATTGTTAGAAGACCGTGGCAGAGACTTGGAACTGTGAATCTTAATATTATAGTGTGGCAGTTTTATTGTTGGTTTGGAATTAGTAGATTCTACTTGTGTTTAAAAGAAGTATGCTTAACAACGCATAACTACTGTTGTGGTCTGAAGAATTTACTAGTATTAGCAACTACTAGTAAATATATTATACAGAAGGATGACATGATCAAAGGATAATCCTTTTAGAAAGTCTGAATCTTAGTAAAGCTTGTAAGCACACTAAGAAGGTTGGAGGCGCAAGGGCATGAATCAGAGATGTCCTTACTATTCTAAGACTAGTTCAGGGTGCTTGAAATTACCACCTCAGAGCTAGTGCTACTGGTTTCCACGCCACTGTTTTGATTGGCCTTAACAAGGGAAGTCACTGAGTGTTGCACTTTTCCCAATTACAATATACATTGAAGGGAGACTCTGTATCTGTAATGATTGGACTTAATCTGAAGATCAGAAGTCTGAAGAGGGCAGTGGTATGCTGATGTGTTCTGATAATATGACATTGTGAAGTCATGTCTCAACAACAGGAGATTGAAGAATTGCTTAAAAGTATCATAAGTGGCAGTTTTGATACTTTTGGAGCAATTTGGAAGATTCAGATCTTATCAATAGCAAATTGGTCTAGCAAATCAAACTTCACTAGCTCCAACAACTACTAGTGAATGGAAGATCAGAAGAAGGAAATCAGATATATTCAGCATATGTTCAAGGGGTTCTTTTACCACAAGAAATAGAAGTGGCATCTAAATTTGTGTATTAGAACCAATCTGTGATGTCCTGTGAAGCAGGTTGGAGTCTTCTGGTGTATTGGATCTCAGCAACACAAAGCATGAGTGATGACCATGCTTAAGGCTGCTAATCTCTTGCTACTAGCTGGTTAAAGTGCCCTTCTTTGTGCCTAAATGAGAGAAAGTAAGGTAATGTCTAAGTAAGTGTCATGACATTATCAACGACATTGCAACCTTGTGGAAATCAAGAAGAATACGGGAAAATAACTTCGCCACGTCATTGGTATTCTGTTTCCTAGAAGGAATAAATCTTCAGTCCCGAAAATGGGTCAAAGGCTGATTTTATTCAGGAATTGCTTTGACCTAAATTTATGCATGAATTAGGACTGGTTCTTTTTGTGGTATTGGCAGAAACAAACAAATACGTCTAAAATACATGCACAGTCAGTCTGAAATATGCACATGCTTTAACAGGTATCCTTGACCAAGATTTTATATTACCATCTTCTTGAACCTGGTATCTCCCTATATAACCTCCTGTCACACATTCTTTTCTCTCACAACCATCATGGGGTTTATACGGATTTGGGAAAACTGTTCTTGGATCTGGTTTTGTGAGGGCTTTCTTTGGCAATTTTTGGCCAAAAAGGGGGAGAAAGGAGTACTGTTAGAAACTGTCCTCGTTGCAGCAGCTACTCAAAATTTTGATCACAAAGACTTGTCACAAACTCAGCAGAAATTCAAATGGCGTGAATTTCTTTGTGACTTGTGATCCGAGTTATGAACACAGTTGTGACCTGTGTTCTGAGTTACAAGGGAGATATTCTGGTCACTCCTTAAAGGTTCTCTGATGCCTCTGAAAGGATAGTTTATCTCCCACGGTCCTCTTTTTCCACCATCAGTGACAAGAAATGGTTCGTGGTCTAAAAGGGAATGAGGTGCATCCTCTTCCTCCTGTGCCTCAAGAGGTCCTGAATGGTGAGTATTATTGTTGTATTTGTTATAGCCAAAATTAGCCAAAGGGGGAGATTGTAAGTGCCTTCGTTTGGGATTGGCTCATCTCTTGTAAAACAAATAGCAACAACAATAATGTAATGTAATGTACAATAGGAACATCCTGAAAATTCTATTGTAAATGCCTAAACATGTTGATCAACATCTGGAACAACATGTCTCAAGAGATGTCATAACATCATACCAGACATCAAGCTACTGAACTGTCAAGACTGATGCAGTTCTGTTCCTAAAGTTATGCAGAATATTCTGCCAAATAGAATGCATAACAAGTAGCGAAAATTAAAGGCATACGTGGAGCCCTAGAAGATTCAATCAGAAGCTAAGGATAAGGAGAAAAGCTCGATTGAAGACCTAACTTGTAGCAGAAGTTTTCTGCTTATTTTATGCAGGTCGTTAAAGCTGCATTGCTGTCATATGAAGGCCCAAATCCAGTTGGGTAAAAAGTGTTATAAATAGAAGTATTGTAACCTAATTTGGTAGATCGCTGATTGACTAGATGTAATCATTTAGGGCTAGTTGTGAACCACCCGGGCTGTGGGATGGTCACCATACTCCTTGAAACCTGTAGGTTAAAGGATGTATGCATTGTACTTGATTGAAGCTTTTAAGCATGATCAAGATGTGTAATGGAAGTGTATCTTCTGAGCAGTTTATGTACTGTAGAAAGTTATCACTGCGGTGATTGAGGGGGAGTGAGAGGGGTCTCATATCTAGGATTGGATCTTAGGTAAAAGTGTCATTGGGTAGTGATTAAGTGAGAAGGCTGTCAACGGGTGTGTTGGCTGTAGGGTCTTTGAATTGATACTACTAATAGTGAACTTTATCCCTGGCTTGGAAGCCCCCAGATGTAGGTTGGTTGAACCGAACTGGGTGAACAATTCTGTGTGTTATTTACTTTCTGTATTGGTTATCTGTTTGATGTCACAGCATTCCTCGTAACATCAATGTGTAAGATTAACCTTAACTGTTCTGAACTTCAGTAAATCAGAACCTGCGTGTTGTTGGCTCTGGTATGTTAGTCCAGTGACTGTTGTAGAACAGATATCAAAAGTTCAGCCTAGTCTACCTGTACAGCGCTTAATGTCAGATCAGATGTCTTAACATTCCATTAGATATTCTGAGTCTGTGACATTCCCGGAATTTCACATCAAAAATGCATGAAGTTTATGACAAACTCAGAAACAACCCAACTTCGCTTGAAAACTCATCATAGCTCACCGCTACCAGCCCAAATGCCAGATGTCACCAACTAATTCACGACAGAGCCGACATCCTCATGTGGTAGAACCACCTTCATACGCCAACAAACAGCCAGAAAGTTACCCCACTAAGCTACATTAACCCTAACTGCATGCATCTCTAAAGGCGAAATCAGAAAATCTATCCTAAAACTAAAACGGGGAAGATTAGCGGTTGGCGAGCAGAAACTTCGACGATAGTGCGTTGTAGAGATGAGAAGAAACGAGCAAGAGGAAGTAAGCAAAAAAAATACAAATGAAGCTTCCTCTCTCCCATTTATAGGAAACTTTGATAGAACGTGAGTGGGCACGCGCCTAGGGAAGCCTAGGGGCCGTCATCATTACGCCCTAGTCCCTAGACTTGTCATCATTGTGCATTAATGACAACACGTGGCTTAATACAAGCGTGGTACACAAACTCCTAAAATCCAATCAATTGTTCCTCTCTCCGCGAGTAAAACGCATGAAACAACGCTCGGGCTCCTCATATGGGATTGTCCCTGAAATCATGAAACGTCTTATGCTCGCAGGCACGTCTTAAGTCATCACTCCTCTGCCCAGAAATAATGACTTGAGGGACTCCTGTTATGGTCTGGCCCAATGATTAGAATTGACCTAATCTACTTCTGCCTTTAACATGACCCAACATCTTTGACCCACTAGCTCTGGCCCTTCGGTCGGGAACGCTCGATCGATTCCACCCCACAAACAGAGAGATAAGCAATGCCTTGAGCCATGTGCTTGCCCGCATTGACAACTACCTCCAAGTCTTCTCGACACACGTGGAGCAGACAACCAAGAAACGTCTATAACACATCTGCATGTAATCTCTGTCTTGCTCGGAGCAACAACTAGTTACGAGCATGACTGCCTATTTTGACTAAGTCCGGGTAGTTACCTATTTTTGAGGAACCTAGTATCTAGGCCCAAAAATAGGAACCAATGGCTAAACGTCGGAGGCACTATATAAACCCTCACACTTGTGAGGGCTAAATGTCCAATAATCACTCTAAAAACCCTAATCTCTTTCTTGTATCTCTTTGCACTCTTTTCTACTTGAGCGTCGGAGTGCCTTGCAGGTACATCCTCCTCCCCTCCTCAAATTCCAACTAAACAGACGTCATCTTCTCGACCCACTTCAAGTTCTGATCAACCGAAAAGATTAAATTTTACTTTAAAATAATCAAACACTTAAAATCACTCTGAATCAATTATACAACAATTTCAAAAGCCAATTCAAACATAATACTGTTCCAAAGACTCATGACAATCACGACAAACTTCAAATTCATAAAACACTTACAAATTAAATACTGAAATTATTCTCACATTGGACCGAGGAATTTGAACTCATAAATAAGTTCTTGGTGGTGTGTGATC